CAATCGCTGAATCCATACATAGACTGAGTTATTGTACGGCCATAATCCTGTGATTTTCAACATAGCACGATAGGTATAATAGTGTTTGTCAAACACGTCCATATTTCTAGTCAAATATCGACTGTCATATAGAACTCGAAGAATCATTCGACTATAGCTCGGTTTGATAAATTATTTACGCAATTATTTTTTTCTCTTGTATATTCATAGTGTCATTTTTTTTACAATAGTAACAATATAATGTGCAGAAATTGCAGTAAATTATAATCGATCGATTTTATGCATACCTTCCGCAAGGAGATTTTCCATAATAGATATCGATTTCGAGAAAATTATAGTATTTAAGTTTCTTGTTTGTATTATTAATCTTTATTGTCACTTTTCATTTTTTCCTCTTTTGTTCCAAGTGTTGAGAAAATGAAAGTTTACGATGAATAGTATCTTCCAGTTACCTTATTAGAAAACTTCTTCCTTACTTGCATAGTTATTTTATTCAGTTACAAATATTTCATATTCTTGTTTCATTTAATAGGAGTAACAAAGAGAAATTGGAAGAGATAATTAAAAAGTGGTGCGTTTTACTTGAAAAATATGATTTTACGTGAGAGATAATAAAGTGTTATAATAAGTGTTATGTGTTGTATTAATTATTATCTAAAGTAATTTTTATATATTAAATGCTGTATTATAAGAATAATTATCCTTACAAGTTATTTTGTAGAAATTATTAATACTTGAACGAGCATTTTATTATTTTTAATTCGATTTTGACCAAAATTGTACGCAAATGTAATTTATGTAGAATAATGAAACGTGAAGTATGTACGAAATATTTTGAATATAAATCCAATGCAATTTTATCAGGGATACATATGATAGAAAACATGTATAAATTTACATGTATAAAATACAGTATGGGAACTTATATGAATTATAAGCGACAATAAAATAAAAATAGAAACAACAAAAATTTTAAAAGAATTTATCACACAATAATTAAAAAAAATATTAAATTTTCTAAATTTTTTGAAAAAATTTTTTGGAATTTTGTAATAACTTTTCAATGTATTATATATAAATGAGAGAAATTTTGATTTTAGATACAAATCTGAAATTGATAATCTCGAAAACACTTATTGTGAAATGTATTACATGTAAATGAGAAAAATTTTGACTTTTGATTCAAATTTGGGATTGATAATCTCGAAAACACTTAAACACTTGTGAAATAATACATTTTTATATTCGTAGAACCGATATTATTTCCTGATCATCAATTTATTGCTTCATCGCACAAGACAAAGAAAATTACAAAATCAATTCATATATCAAAATAGAATTATTAAGTCTTAAAAAATGAGACGAAGAATAAAGAGGCACAAGTAAACGTATTTATATCGATATTTTCCATGATTCTTTCAAAAATACTCGAGGAAATTATCCATATATTCTTTTTTTTGTATTTTACAATTTTTCTTATTATTTGTTACTATTTCTATCGATACAGATATTCCACAAATATTCTGATATTTTTTTTACTTTTACTCGAATTTTTATCTAAATAATTTAACAATTTTAAAATTTAAAAACATAACGTAATACGCAATCTATTTAGATCTATCTAGATTAGCAAAAATTATTTACTATATAAAATAGTTATAGCAATCTTCAGAATAGTATTATATTATCCTAACCAAGCTACTATTGTACATATCATTCTATTTAAATTTATAACTAAATTATTCTGTGACACTCAACTTGCCGAAATCCATAACAGCAAATCAAAATTTATTCTTCTATTCTTATTAAGTTAAAAGTCAATTTTAGAGTTCGTTATAACATTTCCTTAAATAAAATAATTCTTTTAAAACTAATTTGGAAAGAATTATTGTATATTATCCAAATAAAATACAGAAATTTTGCTTTTCTTGAGGAAAAAGCGATTAAACACTTTTATATAATATAATAAATAAACAGAAATAATTAAATAATTAATAGCGAAAAAAAATTTTTTTTTTCATTATATAAGAAATTTTGAGAATCACTTGCAATGTTCGTATTCCGTAAACATTTAAAAGGGTAATTTTGGTCTTTTTCTTCGGAACGATGTATGAAAAGAAGAAATCAACAAAAAATAAAAAATGGTTAAAGAATGAAATTAATATTAAAATTATCGTTGAAGGTATCAATTTTAGCAAAGTTTTATTCGAAATATAGGTTTGCTTTAATGCTAATTTATTTCGTGAAATATTAATTTAAAATATATAAATTTACGTAAAATTTGCCACTATTTAAAAATTACTATTATTTATACGTATTATTGAAGGAATTGAAGAAAAAAAAATATAAGACAATATAACAACGAAATTCAAAAATACAATAACATTTTCATCCCATCATAATAATTTTCTTCTAGTTGATACCATATTTCGTATTTGTTTTGAATATGAATTTCCATTATATTATTGATATATTCGAATCAATTATATGAAATAAAATTGATACAATTCACTTGCTATAAATGTTCATGAAAACCATAACAAAAATGAAATGGTTATTTTCTCTCACAATTAGAAAAGGGATTATGTAAAATAATTATTGTTCTAAATTAATTATAACGGTAACGAAATTATAAATAATAATATAACAAATTACATAATTAATTCGAGATATATAATTAGAGAATTCTTAACTGAGCAAATATTAACAAAAAAGAAAAAATAAAAGAAAGAACAAAATAAAATACAAAGTAATAATAATTGTTCAATTCAATATTCATACATTTAATATGATACTATCAATTTTATTGTATCGAGTATATCAAAGTAAAATATGAAAATGAAGTGTTCAACATCTGAAATGAAACAATTTTTATTAATTCGAATTAAAATGATAATGTTTTTAGTTAAACAAATTACCGCTGTAAATCCTGCGTAGCAAGGAATGAACACACCAAAGATGTGAAACATGCATGCCGTTGAACTTCGTATCATAACGAGTAATAAAATCTTTTGTACTTTTAACGGTACAAAATACCATACGGAAATGTACCTGTCCAAGAAGAAGAGACATTTTTTTTTTACTGTTACTGTAATTAATTTTACGAATAAAAATTCATAAAGAAACTTACAATTCATGAAAAAATTCTTCACTGTTGTCTATAAGTATTTGGCCACTATGGTTGCACAAAAACATAATCATCAAATGATTGGCAAAAATTATAAGAGAAATTAAAATTTCTAATTGATCCTTCTTAATTGTAATCGCATTTACTAGCTGTGAAAAAAAATTAATATACATTCAATACAATATCATTTTTAGATTGATTACATATAATGGTATATTTATTTATTATATATTTATACAATTTATACAAATTCGAAACGTCTCGTATAATATGTTTCATGAATTAAAAAAATTAAAAAAAATTATACTGCCTTTCAATATACAAGATGTTTCATTTTAATTTCTATTCGTACAATTATCTTTTGAATTATGCATTATTTAAAAAAAAAATGTTGCATATAAAGTTTGTATTTCAAGAGATCTTTTTATGATGATTATGTTGGTCATTGAAATCTCATCTAAGATCACATATTGTTTAAATTTTGCTTTATGGTCAGAAGATTGGAATAAATTATTAATACAAAGAGTATAGTTATTGACATAAATATTTTGTTAAAGTTACTATTTCATAGAATTTAAATATTTTTCAGAGTTATATAGATAAATTTTTTTAAAGAAAAGCCAATCATATGAAGGATTTCATAAGCGATGTTTCCCAAATTAACTGTGATACTTTTGAATAGTATGTCAATTAAGGAACAGAATAAATCATTGTATTGATGTGCACAGCTGTTGTACGTATAAAATATAAGGATTAATTTCTACTAATTAATAATAATAAATATCTAGAATAATAATGAATAATCTTGAATCATGTTCAAAAATCATAATTAGGGCAATAAATTCATTTTTGAATAGATTCTCATTAAATAAAACATATAAATTTTATTTTAAAAAAAAGCGTAAAACAGAAAATTTGAGAATTCGAAAAAGTCTTGGTCTAAGCAACTAAGAGTTAACAAAAGATATTTCTTTTTAAGCACAAATTTCGTATAAAATATTAGTTTAAGTAATTTAAACGATTAGATAATTTAAGAGATTAATTGTGATTAATATGAACAATATGAAATAAAACGTCCGGTAATAATTAACTGAGAATTCTGACATCTGCAAATTTGTTTATTATTATTATGTAATAAAGAAAAGATACTTACTCGATGCAGACATACAGCCATTGAAATCACAAGTAAAAGAGTAGACATCAAAAACTGTTTTCCTGAATTATTTATTATGAGATTGACGAGTCTTCCATTGCAACATGAAAGTCGCGAAGGAAATATTATATATAAGACAAGTATATGCGAGATTGATTTATAATATAATCAAATTTTAATTTACCAACTCGATAGCTTGATTATGAATATCCACTACGCGATAAAGTTCCGTGAGTTTCGAGTCAATTTGCTTCGATGAGAGATTAATTATAGTTAAATACGTAATAATCTTTCGTATTCGATGGCTAAAAACATGAGACTTGTAAATACACATTGCTTAAGAAAGAACTAAATAATTTTATTATTTAAAATTGTTTTGTATATTTTTGTAGATAAAAAAAGTACATTCTTTAAAACACTATAACTTTTTTAAAAATTGTGATGAGTTACTAATGAGTTACGTCTCCTTTTCTTCTTCTCTTTTTTTTTTTTTTTAGAAAATTAAATGAAATAATTTGCTGTATATTGTATAAAAAAAATTGTATAAAAATTGCAATTTGTTAGAATCGAAAAAAAACATATATATATATATATATTTAAAATTTCAATTCGCAGTGTTATTTCGTTAATATCTAACGAATAATAAAATCGAAATGAAAATTTATGCCAGAACAAAAGTTGCTTGAAGTAATCTCGGAACAGAATTTTACAAGATTTCTCGAATCGATTTTTGGAATATATTTGTCCGTATATTAACATTTAATGCATTTATTATCTAATATATAATAATAATATTAATCTGTATATTAATATTCTATATAAGGAGTAAGAAAAATCCAATATTATATAATTAATAGAATAATATTAAATCTGTGAACTCAATTATAATCTCATGAATGTTAATTCATATTATAAAAAATGTTGCAATTATCGTAATTGTTAATAAGTATTATGCTATATGGATAACGATAATTTACTTACCTAATAATTTTAAACAACATGCCTGTATGATAACTATAAAATCCGATTATCGATTCGGTACATATTATAGATAATAATCCAAATGTAACAACAAACATAAAATCCAAGCATAAAATACAAAAATATGTATTCCGATTGACAGAAAATAATGTAATGTAACGAAGAATAAGTATGCGATATTGGTTCACAGGCATTATGAAATTCATTGTTATAAGATACAATAAGAATATATTAAATAATGTAATAGTTGAAAAAATCATACCTAAAAATTGGAAAAACCATTCAATAAATTATGTTTAAACTGAAATAATAATTAATATAATATTGAAAAAAAATTTCTGTTTTAAAAATGAAAAATATTCTGGTACTTTTGCTAAAAAATAACAAGTAAAGAATACAAATATTATAATTCAAAGATTATATATATATATATATATATATATATAATAGAAGAATAAGTATACCATATTGGTTCACAGGCATTATGAAATTCATTGTTATAAAATACAATAAGGATATATTAAATAATGTAATAGTTGAAAAAATCACACCTAAAAATTGGAAAAACCTTTCAATAAATTATGTCTAAATTTAAATAATAATATAATATTAGCATTGAAAAAAAAAATTCCGATGCTTTTGTTAAAAAATAACAACTTTTCTAAAGATTACAAATATCATAGTTCTTAATATTGTATATATATATATATATAAAATAAAAAATTTGTATTAAAACTTATAAATTCAACAATAAACAAATATTGTTAAACATTTGCGATGAAAGATATTATAAAAAAAATTTACATATTTCTTACGGAAATAGAAATCGATCTTTTGACAAGATTCATTGATGTATTTCGTCCGTATCTCTGTTTCTATTGAATCTTGTACTATATTTTCCTCCATACCGATATGATGAAATAAATGTTTTACCTATATCATAAAAACAAAGTAACATGAAAATAATATCTTTCCATAAAAAAATCTAAAATAATTTTAATTTTTGCTCACCATAGGAAAAAACATTATAAAGTTTATATACCGTAGCAAAATTATTATAAGTGGACAAGTCGTAGACAATATTAAAATACAGTTTCGTAAGGTAATTTCAGATCTTAAAAGTGACACGATCTAAAAATTTGTTAATTAGAATACATTTGAAATATTAGATTTTATGATGATTATATAGTATTTCGATCGTGCTTTCATATATATTATCATTATTATCATTTTAATACATTTTTCATACATCATTTTTAATACATTATTATCTTTTAATCAAAAATAGAAATAAAATGGACATGTGACGATATTCATTTAAGCTGTATGTACAATAAATCGAGCCGAATAATGTACACAAGCGAATAAAAAAAAATTAGAATAAAATTCTTTTATTTCAAGCTTTTATTCGAGAAAATTGAATTCTTTGAAGTGTAATTGTTTAACCCTTAATTAGAGACAAATAAATTATAAATGAAAATTTTTTTATACGTAAAAGTATGCAAAAATTGTAGAATTAAATTTTAAGTCTTTTTCTTTTTAAATATATATATATATGTATATTAAAGATGAAGAACAATTCTATAATCTTCGATTTCTAGATTTCTAGAATTTTCGAAAATGAATTTTTAAACGAAATAAAGTTATGCCGTATGTATATATTATCTGGACACTTGGTATAACTTAGAATATGATAACTTTTGAATATTATACAAATATGTTTTCATACTTTAATATATAATTCACAAATTTAAAATCATAATACATCATATCAATATATTAATATTTCATGTAAATCAACAAATACATATTATTATTTCAAGAAAGAGAACATTAATATACTATGATAAGTTTATTATTTATTTAAATAAAAATATAACAAATTAAACAAAGAAAAATTTTGTCACCTGAAATATTACATTTCCAAGATAGAGTGTCAATAATAATAATCTTTGAATCCATGCGTAGACTGAGTTATTGTACGGCCATAATCCTATGATTTTCAACACAATATGATAGGTACGATAGTGTTTGTCAAACACGTCCATATTTCTAGTCAAATATCGACTGTCATATAGAACTCGAAGAATCATTCGACTATAGCTCAGTTTGATAAATTATTTATGCAATTATTTTTCTCTCTTACAATAGTAACAATATAATGTGAAGAAATTGGAGTAAATTACAATCGATCGATTTTACGCATACATTCTGCAAGGAGATTTTCCATAATAGATATTGATTTCGAGAAAATTATAGTTTTTAAGTTTCTCGTTTGTATTATTAATCTTTATCGTCATTTTTTTTTTATTCCTTCAGTTTTTTCTTCTTCTGTTTCAAGTGTTGAGAGAATAAAATTTTGTTACGATGAATAGTATCTTCCAGTCGCTTTACTAGAAAACTTCTGTCCTAATTATACCGTTACTTTATTCAGTTAGAATACTTCATATCGTTATTTCATTCAACAGTAACAAAATAACAACGAGAAACAATTGGAAGAGAACAATAGTAAAGGATGTATTTTGCTCGAACGATAATAATGTAAGAGAAAGTTTTACGTAATATCTTAAAATACTATATTATACTAATTATTGTCTAAAGTAATTTTTAAACACTGAACGCTGTATTAATATTATTTAAGTAATTATTTCAAACTATTTTGTAAAATGCAATTAATCATATTTAAGGAGCACTTTATTATTTTTAATTGAATTTTGAACGAAATCATGCACTATTGTAATTTATATAAAGTAATATGAAGCATATACATGAAATATTTTAATAAAATCCAATTTAATTTTATTAAAAATATACGATAGAAATTTTTACATATAAATTTTCTTTTATTAATCATATTATTTTCTTTTATTTTCTTTTATTAATCTCTGTTAATCTTTTATTATTAAAATTGAGAATTGATCACAAAATATATACTTCCTGATTTTTCTCCGGATTGGTTTTTCCTCCAATCATTATTTTCCGTGAAAATGCAAACTAAAACGGGATTGGAACAACCAATAGTCGCATTGGAGTGCGGTTTAAAGTGACTTTGTTCTTATATCTCTTAGATTAGTTAAGCTATTGAAAATAATAAACTGAAGACTAATAAAATTGAAATTTAATTTGCATAATTAAAAGCAATAAAATTTTTCCTATTCGAAAAAACATTAATATATTCCCGTTAGTTGTATTACATGATATATAAATACTTACAAAAACTGAAAATAAAAATTTACTTATTTATTTCCGATAATAAGAAAATAATTCATTATTTATTTCTTTAAAGATTTATAACCATGTTATTCGGTGAAGTTCCTCGCATGGAAATCTTTTTCCATTATTATTGATCCACTTATTATCGATCTTCACTAAACCTAAACAAAGGATAATATTACATGAAAAGACTGCCGTTTTCGAACAGAGTTAAGTAGATACTTATAATTATATATTTTTCACATATTGATTGAAATGGAAATCGATCCCAAGAATGACATATGGCTGATTCGATGGTAAGCAACATCATCCTAATTAGGAATAATCTATAATAAATATATACTGCTTAATTTATGCAATACTAATTCAATTCAATCGATATTATTAGTTATCATGTCTCACCTAGTTGATCCTTCCAATTGAACTTGGAAGGAATTTCCCTCACTGAAAGGAAGTCTACACTCTTGAATTGAGTCTAACATACTTGTTGCAATCACATTAATATTCTGATCGTTAGATATAATCATCTACTGTGGCATTGTAAGAGATCTAGCTCTCTGCACTTATAATATTTCTACATATAGTTAAGAAAATATATCACCGCTTACAAGCGTCAGCTTATATATATTTCGAAAAACATTCGACACATTTATATGTACATTAATGTATTTCCATTCCCTATTAGCACTAATACTTATGGTTTTTTTAGTGGACATAAAATAATAATCATATTATATGATTAATGATATAATTAAAATATAAATATTGAATTTCTCATTAATCTCATATCAGAATAAAAAAACATTGAATTCGAATCAGATAGACGTAAAGATTTTTTAATTGATGCATTGATCCGTGAAATTCAAAATGGCAGAACAATATTTGTTATAATTATCTATTTCGAATATTCATTTCGGTACAAATATCGAAGTTTGTTGAATATAACATATATGAACAATAACGAATATGAAATGGTTATTTTCACTCGCAATTAAGAGAAATAAATATGCAAAATAATATTTGTTCTAAATTAATTATAACGGTAACGAAATGATAAATAATAATATAACAAATTACATAATTAATTCGAGATATATAATTACAGAATTCTTAACTGAGCAAATATTAACAAAAAAGAAAAAAAAAAGAAAAAACAAAATAAAGTAAAGAATAATAACAATTGTTTATTTCGTACATTTAATATGATAGTAACAATTTTATTGTATCGAGTATATCAAAGTAAAATATGAAAATGAAGTGTTCAACATCTGAAATGAAACAATTTTTATTAATTCGAATTAAAATGATGATGTTTTTAAACAAATTACCGCTGTAAATCCTGCGTAACAAGGAATGAACACACCAAAGATGTGAAACATGCATGCCGTTGAACTTCGTATCATAACGAGTAATAAAATCTTTTGTACTTTTAACGGTACAAAATACCATACAGAAATATATCTGTCCAATGAAGAGACATTTTTTTTTTTACTGTTACTGTAATTAATTTCACGAATAAAAATTCCAACTTACAATTCATGAAAAAATTCTTCACTGTTGTCTATAAGTATTTGGCCACTATGATTACATAAAAACATAATCATCAAATGATTGGCAAAAATTATAAGAGAGATTAAAATTTCTAATTGATCCTTCTTAATTGTAATCGCATTTACTAGCTGTGAAAAAAAATTAATATACATTCAATACAATATTATTTTTAGATTGATTACATATAATGGTATATTTATTTATTATATATTTATACAATATATACAAATTCGAAACGTCTCGTTTAATATGTTTCATGAATTAAAAGAATTTAAAAAAAAATTATACTGCCTTTCAATATACAAGATGTTTCATTTTAATTTCTATTCGTACAATTATCTTTTGAATTATGCATTATTTAAAAAAAAATGTTGCATATAAAATTTGTATTTCAAGAGATCTTTTTATGATTATGATTATGTTGGTCATTGAAATCTTACCTAAGATCACATATTGTTTAAATTTTGCTTTATGGTCAGAAGATTGGAATAAATTATTAATACAAAGAGTATAGTTATTGACATAAATATTTTGTTACCATTTCATAGAATTTAAATTTTTTTCAGAGTTATATAGATAAATTTTTTTAAAGAAAAGCCAATCATTATATGAAAAATTGTATAAGAGATGTTTCCCAAATTAATTGTGATATTTTTGAATAGAATTTCATTCAATTAAGGAACAGAGTAAATCATTGTATCGATATGCAAAGCTGTTTCTTTAAAATATGGAATGTAAAGATTAATTTCTGGTAATTAATAATAATAAATATCTGGAATAATAATGAATAATCTTGAATCATGTTCAAAAATCAAAAATAATATGATAAATTCATTTTTGAATACGATTCTCACTAAATAAAACATATTTTTATTTTAAAAAATGCAGAAAATTTAAGAATTCGAAAAAGTCTTCATTTAAACGACTAAGAGTTAACAAGAGATATTTCTTTAGAAAAACACAAGTATCGTATAAAGTATTATTTTCAATAATTTAAACGATTTAAGAGATTAATTGTGATTAATATGAACAATATAAAATAAAACACCCGGTAATAATTAACTGAGAATTCTGACATCTTCAAATTCGTTTATTATTATTATGTAATAATGAAAAGATACTTACTCGATGCAGACTTACAGCCATTGAAATTACGAGTAAAAGAGCGGACATCATATACTGTTTTCCTGAATTATTTATCATGATATTGATAAGTCTTTCATTGCCACATAAAATTCACAAACGAAATATTATATATAACATAAGTATATGAGAGATTAATTTTTATTGATATCATATTTTAATTTACCAACTCGATTGCTTGATTATGTATATCCACTACGCGATAAAGCTCCGTGAGTTTCGTGTCAATTTGCTTCGATGAGAGATTAAATATAGTTAAATACGTAATAATCTCTCGTATTCGATGGCTAAAAATACGAGACTTGCAAATAAACATTGCTTAAGAAAAAACTTGATAATTTTAAACCGTTTAAAATTGTTTTATATTTATTTTTACGATTAGCCAACAAAGTATTGGTTTTTAAAATATTATAATTTTTTTTAATAATTGTACTTAACGACGTAAGTTTGTTTTTTTTTTCTTGGAAAAATTAGAAAGATTAATTTGTTATATAATATAGAAAAGAATTATATAAAACCTTTTTAATTTGAATTGAAAAAAAACAATGAAATATATTAAAAAAAATTTTGTTTTTATTATATATATTAGACGTTTAATAAAAATTTAAAAAATGCATTTTGTAGATTTATCAGTATTTATATATATTTAAAATTTCAATTAGCAGCGTTATTTCGTTAATATGTAACGAATAATAAAATCTAAATGAAAATTTATGCCAAAACAAAAGTTGTTTGAAATCATATCACAAATATAAATCAAGACATATCGTATTTGGTTGTATATTAACACTTAATGCATATTATTTAGAGCACTGGGACAATCTATATATTAATCGTCTATATTAGAAGTAAGAAAAATATATTATTTCAAATAGTATTAAATTTATAAAAATTATGCTATTTTGCAATTAATTATAATATATTTTATGAATGTAAATCCATATTGTAAAAAATGTTGTAAATAAAGTAATTTAAAGTTAATATTTATTACATAATTTCATGCGAAATAAATATGATAATTTACTTACCTAATAATTTTAAACAACATGCCTGTATGATAACTATAAACTATAATTATCGATTCGGTACATATTATAGATAATAATCCAAATGTAACAACAAACATGACATCCAAGCATAAAATATAAAAATATATGTTTCGATTGACAGAAAATAATGTAATGTAACGAAGAATAAGTATACCATATTGGTTCACAGGCATTATGAAATTCATTGTTATAAAATACAATAAGGATATATTAAATAATGTAATAGTTGAAAAAATCACACCTAAAAATTGGAAAAACCTTTCAATAAATTATGTCTAAATTTAAATAATAATATAATATTAGCATTGAAAAAAAAAATTCCGATGCTTTTGTTAAAAAATAACAACTTTTCTAAAGATTACAAATATCATAGTTCTTAATATTGTATATATATATATATATAAAATAAAAAATTTGTATTAAAACTTATAAATTCAACAATAAACAAATATTGTTAAACATTTGCGATGAAAGATATTATAAAAAAAATTTACATATTTCTTACGGAAATAGAAATCGATCTTTTGACAAGATTCATTGATGTATTTCGTCCGTATCTCTGTTTCTATTGAATCTTGTACTATATTTTCCTCCATACCGATATGATGAAATAAATGTTTTACCTATATCATAAAAACAAAGTAACATGAAAATAATATCTTTCCATAAAAAAATCTAAAATAATTTTAATTTTTGCTCACCATAGGAAAAAACATTATAAAGTTTATATACCGTAGCAAAATTATTATAAGTGGACAAGTCGTAGACAATATTAAAATACAGTTTCGTAAGGTAATTTCAGATCTTAAAAGTGACACGATCTAAAAATTTGTTAATTAGAATACATTTGAAATATTAGATTTTATGATGATTATATAGTATTTCGATCGTGCTTTCATATATATTATCATTATTATCATTTTAATACATTTTTCATACATCATTTTTAATACATTATTATCTTTTAATCAAAAATAGAAATAAAATGGACATGTGACGATATTCATTTAAGCTGTATGTACAATAAATCGAGCCGAATAATGTACACAAGCGAATAAAAAAAAATTAGAATAAAATTCTTTTATTTCAAGCTTTTATTCGAGAAAATTGAATTCTTTGAAGTGTAATTGTTTAACCCTTAATTAGAGACAAATAAATTATAAATGAAAATTTTTTTATACGTAAAAGTATGCAAAAATTGTAGAATTAAATTTTAAGTCTTTTTCTTTTTAAATATATATATATATGTATATTAAAGATGAAGAACAATTCTATAATCTTCGATTTCTAGATTTCTAGAATTTTCGAAAATGAATTTTTAAACGAAATAAAGTTATGCCGTATGTATATATTATCTGGACACTTGGTATAACTTAGAATATGATAACTTTTGAATATTATACAAATATGTTTTCATACTTTAATATATAATTCACAAATTTAAAATCATAATACATCATATCAATATATTAATATTTCATGTAAATCAACAAATACATATTATTATTTCAAGAAAGAGAACATTAATATACTATGATAAGTTTATTATTTATTTAAATAAAAATATAACAAATTAAACAAAGAAAAATTTTGTCACCTGAAATATTACATTTCCAAGATAGAGTGTCAATAATAATAATCTTTGAATCCATGCGTAGACTGAGTTATTGTACGGCCATAATCCTATGATTTTCAACACAATATGATAGGTACGATAGTGTTTGTCAAACACGTCCATATTTCTAGTCAAATATCGACTGTCATATAGAACTCGAAGAATCATTCGACTATAGCTCAGTTTGATAAATTATTTATGCAATTATTTTTCTCTCTTACAATAGTAACAATATAATGTGAAGAAATTGGAGTAAATTACAATCGATCGATTTTACGCATACATTCTGCAAGGAGATTTTCCATAATAGATATTGATTTCGAGAAAATTATAGTTTTTAAGTTTCTCGTTTGTATTATTAATCTTTATCGTCATTTTTTTTTTATTCCTTCAGTTTTTTCTTCTTCTGTTTCAAGTGTTGAGAGAATAAAATTTTGTTACGATGAATAGTATCTTCCAGTCGCTTTACTAGAAAACTTCTGTCCTAATTATACCGTTACTTTATTCAGTTAGAATACTTCATATCGTTATTTCATTCAACAGTAACAAAATAACAACGAGAAACAATTGGAAGAGAACAATAGTAAAGGATGTATTTTGCTCGAACGATAATAATGTAAGAGAAAGTTTTACGTAATATCTTAAAATACTATATTATACTAATTATTGTCTAAAGTAATTTTTAAACACTGAACGCTGTATTAATATTATTTAAGTAATTATTTCAAACTATTTTGTAAAATGCAATTAATCATATTTAAGGAGCACTTTATTATTTTTAACTGAATTTTGAACGAAATCATGCACTATTGTAATTTATATAAAGTAATATGAAGCATATATATGAAATATTTTAATAAAATCCAATTTAATTTTATTAAAAATATACGATAGAAATTTTTACATATAAATTTTCTTTTATTAATCATATTATTTTCTTTTATTTTCTTTTATTAATCTCTGTTAATCTTTTATTATTAAAATTGAGAATTGATCACAAAATATATACTTCCTGATTTTTCTCCGGATTGGTTTTTCCTCCAATCATTATTTTCCGTGAAAATGCAAACTAAAACGGGATTGGAACAACCAATAGTCGCATTGGAGGGCGGTTTAAAGTGACTTTGTTCTTATATCTCGTAGATTAGTTAAGCTATTGAAAATAATAAACTGAAGAAGTAACGTTTGACTAATAAAATTAAAATTTAATTTGCACAATTAAAAGCAATAAAATTTTTCCTATTCGAAAAAACATTAATATATTCCCGTTAGTTGTATTACATGATATATAAATACTTACAAAAACTAAAAATAAAAATTTATTTATTTATTTCCGATAATAAGAAAATAATTCATTATTTATTTCTTTAAAGATTTATAACCATGTTATTCGGTAAAGTTTCTCGCATGGAAATCTTTTTCCATTATTATCGATCCACTTATTATCGATCTTCACTAAACCTAAAGAAAGGATAATATTACATGAAAGGACTACCGTTTTCGAACAGAGTTAAGTAGATACTTACAATTATATATTTTTCACATACTGATTGAAGTGGGGCGGTTTAAAGTGACTTTGTTCTTATATCTCGTAGATTAGTTAAGCTATTGAAAATAATAAACTGAAGAAGTAACGTTTGACTAATAAAATTAAAATTTAATTTGCACAATTAAAAGCAATAAAATTTTTCCTATTCGAAAAAACATTAATATATTCCCGTTAGTTGTATTACATGATATATAAATACTTACAAAAACTAAAAATAAAAATTTATTTATTATTTCCGATAATAAGAAAATAATTCATTATTTATTTCTTTAAAGATTTATAACCATGTTATTCGGTAAAGTTTCTCGCATGGAAATCTTTTTCCATTATTATCGATCCACTTATTATCGATCTTCACTAAACCTAAAGAAAGGATAATATTACATGAAAGGACTACCGTTTTCGAACAGAGTTAAGTAGATACTTACAATTATATATTTTTCACATACTGATTGAAGTGGAAATCGAAGAATGACATATGGCTGATTCGATGGTAAGCAACATCATCCTAATTAGGAATAATCTATAATAAATATATGCTGCTTAATTTATGCAATACTAATTCAATTCAATCGATATTATTAGTTATCATGTCTCACCTAGTTGATCCTTCCAATTGAACTTGGAAGAAATTTCTGAAAGTCCTCGCTAAAAGAGAGTCTAAACTCTTGAGTTCAGTCTAACGCACTTGTTGCGACGAAATCGCATTCTGACCGTAGCATACAATGATCTACTATGACATTGTAGCTCTCTGCATTTATGATATTTCTATTTATAGTTAAGAAAATACATCACCGCTTATATATATTTCGAAAAGCATTCGACACATTTATATGTACATTAACGAACTTCCATCCCCTATTATCATTTATGCTTATGGTTCTTTAGTGGACATAAAATAATAATCGTATTATATGATTAATGATATAATTAAAATATAAATATTGAATTTCTGTTGAATAATCTCATATCAGAATAAAAAACATTGAATTCGAATCAGATGGACGTAAAGATTTTTTAATTGATGCACTGATCTGTGAAATTCAAATTGACAGGACAATATTTATATTTATCTATTTCGAATATTCATTTTGGATATGGATTTCTGTTCTATGTTAATGATATATTTGAATAATTAAATGCTATGAAATAAAATAATTGATTTGATATAACTGTTGATGGACCATGTCAATAATGAAACGGTTATTTTCTTCTAGAATTAGGAAATAAATATACGAAATAATAATAATTCTAGATTAATTATAATATCGAAATTATCAATAACAAATAATATCAGATAGTAATTACAGAAATTTTGATTACAGAAAATATTGACAAGAAACGAACAAATTAAAGAAGAAAAATGAAGTATAGAGTAATAATAATTGTTTATTTCAATACTACTATATTTAACATGTCATTATCAATCCTATTGTGTCGAGTACATCAAAGTAAAATATGAAAACGAGGTACTTAACATCTGAAACGAAACAATTTTTATTAATTTTGAATCAAAATGTTGATGACATTTATTATTAAACAAATTACCGATGTAAATCCTGCGTAGCATGGAAAGAACACTCCAAAGATGTGAAACATACATGTCGTCGAGCTTCTTGTCATGATCAGTAATAAAATCTTTTGTACTTTTAACGGTACGAAGTACCATACAGATATATATCTGTTCAATGAATGATATTTTTTTTTTATTGTTACTGTAATTAATTTCACGAATAAAAACATTCGAACTTACAATTCGTGAAAAAATTCTTCATTGTTGTTTATAAATATCTGAGAATTGTGGTTATTTAAAAATACAACCACCAATTGATTGGTAAAAAAGATAAGAGAGATTAAAATTTCTAATTGATCCTTATTAGCTATAATCGCACTTACTAGCTGTTTAATATTAAAAAAATATTATATACGATTTCAATCAATTTTTAAATTAATTACATTTATTGAGTACATTTATTTATTAGATAATTATTCAATATATATAAATTCTGAGTCTCATTTAATACGTTTCATAACGTCAAAGTAATTCAAAAAAAATTGTATGCAAGATAACCTTTGTGTATGTCTCATTTTAATTTATATTCACACAATTAGTTTCTATATTCTGCATTATTTAAAAAAAAAAATTGCACGTAAAACTTGTTTTCCAAGAAATTATCTTATGATGATCGTTAAATATGGTTAAATTGTTTCTTGAATCCATTGTCCCAATTACGTTGATCTATGAAAATCGTTCAAAATCACTTATAATCGTTAAAATTTTGCTTTATGGATTAGGAGATTCTTCTGATTGAAATAAATTATTAACGTGATGAATAATATAATTAATCTACGTAAATATTTTATCGAAGCTATTCCATGACATTTAAATTTTTTTTAAAATTACACGAATGAAAAAGTTTCGAGAAGAATCAATCATTGTATGAAGAATTGCATAAGTGATTGGCGTCCAAATTAATTATGACATTTTTGAGAATATAGAATTGTTATTTACGTATAAAAGAAATCACTGTATTGATCTCTTCTTTAAAATATAAAATAATAGGAATAATCTTGAATAATGTTCAAAAATCGTAATTCAATTTGGACCATGATTCTCATTAAATAGAAACATATAATTTTATTAAAAAAAGAAAAAAAAATACAGAATAAAGATGATTTGAAAAAGTCTAGATAAATCAAAGTGCTATCAAAACATATTTCTTCTCGAATATACAAGTTTTGTATAAAATATTATTTTGAATAATACATAATTTATAAGATTAATTGTGTGAATAAATTGAAATAAAACACACGGTATAACTGGGAATTCTGACATTCGTTCATTATTATCATGAACAACAAAGAAAAGATACTTACTCGATGCAGATTTACAGCCATTGAAATTACAATTAGAAGAGAAGGTATCATGAACTGTTTTCCTAAATTATTTATCACGATACTGATAAATCTTCACATGAAAGTCGCGAACGAAATATTATATATAAGACAAGTATATGCGAGGTTGATTTATAATACAATCAAATTTTAATTTACCAACTCGATAGCTTGATTATGAATATCCACCACGCGATAAAGCTCTATGAGTTTCGAGTCGATTTGCTTCGATGAGAGATTAAACATAGTTAAATACTTAATAATCTTTTGTATTCGATGGCTGAAACATTTTAAAATAAACACTGTTTAAGAAAGAACTTTACAAATTATTGTTTTGTATATATTTGTTTGATTGGTTGATCAAGAAAATACACTCTTTAGAACACGATAACCTTTTTTAAAAATTGTAAGTTAAGTTTCTTTTTTATTTTTGGAAATTTTAATTTCTGGATTAATCTGCTGTATGTATAATATGTAAAAAAATTTCTACAAAAATTGTACTATATATTAAGACATTAATGCTTAACACTAACATTAACACATACTGAACATTGATATTCTATATAAGAAGTAAGGAAAATATTTCAAATAGTAATAAATTTATGAAGATTATGCGACCTCAGAATTAATTATAATCTTATGAATTCATATTGTAAGATATGTTATATAAATACAACAATTGTTAATATCTATTATATAATAAGTATTATGCGAGATGAATATATGATAATTTTACTTACCTAATAATTTTGAACAATATGCCTACGTGATAACTACAAAGTCCGATTATCGATTCCGTACATATTATAGATAATAATCCAAATGTGACAACAAATAAAAAATCCAAGCATAAAATATAAAAATATACGGTTCGATTGACAGAAAATAATGTAAAATAATGAAGGACACGTGTATGAAATTCGTTCAAAGGCATTATGAAATCCGATGTTATAAGATACAATAAAAACATACCGTACGATATAACAGTTCCATAAGTTACCCCTAAAATTTAAAAAATCATTCAATGTAGCTTATGCTCAAATTGAAATATTTATATAATATTATCATTGAAAATTTGATATTTTTGTTAAAAAATAACGAGCAAAGATTATAGTTATATATATATATATGTAATAAAGAATTAAATATAATAGAAATATTTTGGAACATTTAATTATATCTTGAATGATGAACGGTAATATTATATATTTATATCATCAATGAAATTTATATATTTCTTACGCAAAAGTATTTCGATCATGTGACAAGAATCAGCGATGTATTTCGTTTGTATCCGTCTTTCTATTGAATCTCGTATTATACTTTCCTCCATACTCATATGATGAAATAAATATTTTAGCTATGTCATAAAAAAAAAAAAGTAACATGAAAACAATATTTTTTCATGAAAAGGTCTGAAATAATTTTAATTTTTACTCACCATAGGAAAAAATATTATAAAACTTACGTATCGTAACAAAACTATTATAAATGGACAAGTCGTAGACAATATTAGAATACAATTTCGTAAGGTAATTTCGGATCTTAAAAGTGACACAATCTAAAAATTTGTTAGAATAGGTTTAAAATATTAGATTTTATAATAATTATACAGTATTTCAATCGCGTTTATAAATACATTATCGTTATTATCATTTAATAGGTTTTAAAATATGTTATAATGTTACGGTTGATCGTAGAACAAAAATATATTCAAAAATTGCAAGCAAAAATGGAGATGTGGAGATAAAAACATTGATTTTAATATAATCTTTATAAATAATGAAAGAAAATTCTTCTATATCTGAAATTATGCAAAAATTGTAGAATTAAATTTTAAGTCTTCTTCTTTTTAAATGATATAAAATTGTATTATTGTATATATTTGGAGGAAAAGCCACACTAATATCATTATTATTTCATACAAATACAATAAATATACATTATTGTTTCAAGAAAGAGAACATTAATGTGCTGAACTAAATAGACAATATCCTATGAACTATTTAAGCAAAAATACAACGAATTACAGAAAGAAAAATGATAATTTTCGTCACCTGAAATATTACATTTCCAAGATAGAGTGTCAATAATAATAATCTCTGAATCCATACATAGACTGAGTTATTGTACGGCCATAATCCTACGATTTTCAACACAGTACGATAGGTATGATAGTGTTTGTCGAATACGTCCATATTTCTAGTCAGATATCGACTGTCGTATAGAACTCGAAGAATCATTCGACTACACCTCGCCTCGATATATTATTTACACGAGTATTTTTCTATCTAGTATTTTTATAGTGTTATTCTTTTACAGTGGTAACAATTTAATGTGCAGTAATTGCAGTAAATTACGATCGATCGATTTTATGCATATTTTCTGCAAGGAGATTTTTCATAATAGGTATTGATTTCGAGAAAATTATAGCTTTCAAGTTTCTCGTTTATATTATGAATTTTTATTGTTCGTTTTTTTTTTTTTTTATTCTTCAGTCTTTTCTTTACTTTTTCTTCTCTTGTTCTAAACGTTGAGAGAATGAAAGTTTGTTACGATGAATAGTATTTTTCGTAATAGTTACTCTACAAGAAAACTTCTTTTTTACTTATATCGTTACATTCAGTTACGAATACTTTATATCAATATTTCATTCAATGGGAGTAACAAGAAGATATTGCAAGAAGATATCAATAAAGAAGGTTTGTTCGAATGGTAATAAAATGGTAAGAAAAAGATTAACTTCAACTAATTATTGCTTGTAATAATTTTTATATGTTGTACATTATGCTTATGTTTTAAAAATAATTATTATTTCAAATACTTATAATTATTCGTTATTAATTATTAATACTTGAACGAATTTTTATATTTTATATTTACTTTGATTTTGAATGATTGTACACTACTGTAATTTATATAATGTAACTTGAAATATACTATGAACCCAATATAATTTTATTAGGATAATGCATGATAGAAAACATGTCTATTTTTTTATAATCTTTTATTGAGGATTGATCATAAAATAAATATCTTAAAATCAATTGAGAATATGAATGATAAATATTGATTATATAATTTTATAATTATGAATGTAAATTTATAACAAGAAACAAATAAATTTGTAGGACAAGTTGAAAAAAAGTTTATAAAATTTTTAAAATAGTTTAATAAAAGTTTCAAGCGGAAAAATACGAATTAATTGCATCGAATAGAAAGAAATACAACTATTTATTTTTTAGTTAATTGTTTAATTTTTAAAGGCGCAAAGAAAGAAATTTTTGACATTTTAGTGTTTTTTAGTATTATAAATTGTAAATATAAATTACCAAGCATATAAAATAGAAATATCAAGAAAAAAAAGTTTTTTTAAAGAATTCATTTCTAATCATTAAATATCTGAGAAAAATTTTTTGATCTTCTGAATTTTGAAAAAACCTTTTTGAATTTCTACTAAAAATCTTCAATATATTACACGAAAATGAATCATATACAGAAAAATTTTGATTTTTCAATTCTTAAAATTTGGAATTGATAATCTCGGAAACATCTATTGTGAAACAACATACCATCATTGTTAAACTATAGAGAATTTTAATATAATACAATATTTTGATATTTTGATATCATGCAATATATGTATATTATTAAAAACGAAAATTATTAATTATATATCGAATTATAACAAATTCCAGGATAGTAGCATTATATGACATTATATATAAATGTCGTATGTTTTATATTGTGTGAACGAATAGTGGTTTAATTATTTTTTTAACTATTTACGATTAATTGACCACTGATTATAATAATTTTAATTCTGTACTTTCATCTATCTGATCTAAATTCTATTTTTTTTCTAACTGATCTGATCTAGAAGGCTGTCGCGGATCTTGGCTTTTCCTCCAATCATTATTATGAAAACGCCAACTAGGAGGGGATTGGAGCAACCAATAGTCGCATTGGAGGGCGGTTTCGAAGAATAGATCTTTGCGAAGTGGCGCATGCGCGGTTAAATTGCAAAGCACTAGGCGCGCAAGTGTGACTCGTAAAATGGCTATTACTCTCATATCTCTGAGAATTTTTTGATTGAGAATTTGAAAACCGTTAGAAAATTATATCTGCTCGTAAATTACTGCTAGATTATTAAAAATTGTAAGCTGAAGAAGTAAATTTTGAATAATAAATCAAAATTTAATATACATAATTAATTTCGTTTTAGAAAAACATAATATAGTTATATTACATACTTGCAATCATATTCTATATTCTTCTATATTATATTAAATTGAAACAGGAATTATATTTAAAAGGACGTTAATACGTGGTTACGTTTGTTATATTTTCTTCGTTACTCTTCAATTTATACGTGTGTGCCATTTCGAAAACTATGCCACATTGTTATTATTCTCGTTTTGTGCGTTATCTAATAATAAGTATATTAAAGAAATTAAAAGTATAATATTCTAATTTACAAAATATTTTCCTTTATAAAATGCTTTTTTGCAAAATTTTTGAAATTTGTGACCGATCAATTCTATAATCCGTTTTTATTATTTACATTGAAACAATTATTTTTTATACATTTAACTTTGTCCAGTTCCTTTGCATTCGAGAAATGACTCTCATGCACCATTTGGATTCAAACGAGACATAATAAAACATTTATTTATGTTAATTTTTTTTAGAATATCGCTTCATGAATAGATTCCTAAGCTTTTTACGTATAATCTTATGAAATGTGGAATAATATACTCTCAAGTAACTAGATTTTCTTATCTCAAATTAGATCGTGGATCGGATTGCATCTTCGGCATTAATAAGCCCAAGTTTGACAATTATGGAATATTATTTTCAAAGTTTTTGAGTTTTGTAAGCATAGAATACAATATGATTCGATTTTTCGATTTATTAAACGACGAAATTACTTTTATTTATTATAAAGAAGAGAGAGAAAGCAATGATGAAGATAGAGATGAAGAGATGTAAAAAAAAAAAGCGAAAAATAAAAATAATATACGAATGTGAAAGCATAAGTTACAAGAGTTAAAAAAGATTACTCTCAACGAAATAAGAAAGGCATTTTATTGTGATACTTGTCCTGACAAATCGCTTTATCACACAAAATTATCACACAAAACAACACGAATATAATATAGTTTAATATTCAACAAATTTTCTTCTTTATATGCAAAGATGCATAAAATATTAAAATATAAAAGTTTTATACGTTAATTTGTGTGAAATCATTTTAGGTTTTCCGCGAGAAACTCATCGAAGATCGAAAAAGGCTTCGAGTGTAATCGGTTAAATGTACATCATTCGAACCACTGCGCAGCTAATTCCGCGCATGCTCTTTGGAGGGGAGTGATTCAGGATTGGTCTTATCTCTCAACAAATGACTCCTCTCGAGCTCTATTCTTGACAAGTTTGAAGAGAGGGAAAGAAGAGTCGAGGCGCAATCGTAATAGTTTTACCCTAATCGAACGTACTAATTGAAACATAGTGTGAAACGTAGTTAAAGTTAATAGACTTTTAGTGGAATCATTTTAGACAGATCTTAGAAAAATAGAGTTCGCACAACTAGAATCTTGATGCTGGTAATAATACTTGATACTTAATAAACTTGTTTATTTTTTCAATTTGAAACAGTTTCTTGAATTAGTTATTAAAAAAACTTAATTGGTACTTCATCAGCTAAGTCAATTCCAAAAGATTTACAAAAAGTACCAATAACATTCGAATGTTTAAAATGAAATTAATCTTCATAAATAATAATCAGAACAAGCGATTTATAATAATTACATTTAAAGAAATCAATGAACAATAATGGAACAAGGATTCTTGATTGCTATTCATTGATTACTGAATTGAGCTCACTTTCGAATATTCATTCTTTGACTGTATCCAAGGACCGAATGTTAAAGCGTGAACGACTTTGGATATTGCACAAATGTAGTGCCTGCACTTATGAAATGTATAATCGTTTTATTATGAGCTCTGAGTGAACGAATGATGGTACTTTAACTCTTTGTCGCTGTGTGATTCTGAACTGTATTTTGACGTAAACTGAAATCTATCTGTCTTTTCGTGAAAATACAGGGAAGGGTTGGACTGTTTCGAAGGATGGATCCTCGCAGTGCGTGGAGATCAGGATCTTTGGACTCGTTTCCATGATGCATAGCGTGCAAATGTGACTTGTAAGATGGCCACTGCTGCTGTGGTGTCTTTGCTTAAATCGAGATCTGGAAAATTATGCTCGCTCATAAATTAATGTTAGACTATTGGAGGTATTCGAACTGTTGAAAATAAAGGGCAGAACCGATTACTTCACAAGCTCTGTTGTCTTCAACAATCAGAGTTGGCTAATAATTAATTATTTTGTAATCGATTATTTAATGCAATCGATCGATAAAGTTTATAAAGTTCTTCGTGATTATTGCCAAGTGCTGTGCGATTCGGATGAATATTATTGTTGATGTTTGCTCTAGCTGTTTTTATTTTATGAGTTTAAAAGTTTTTATTTCGCGTAATACAATTTATAAGATGTTTGAGATGCGAGTTTTATTAAAAACAAATTACACTAGAAATAAATAAGTAACTTGTTCTGGGGATTTTCTATGTAAAATTATGTAAAAAATATATATGCTTCTAAAGAAATGTATAGTTTCAAAATGTATAGTATAACCAAAAATGTAATAGTTTCATGATTAATAATTAATGATCACAACTTCTGATTCCTTTCTTATTCGTTAATCAACGATTATCAATTATTTAGTGATCAATAGTTACGATTAATAATTGGATTTTATATTATAATCGTAATTTTCAATCATTAATCAGATTTTACTCAAGTTGTATACAAAAATATTGAAAGATTTTATTTATAAACAATCGAGACAAAACAAGACACGTAGAATGAAGTATATGTATATAGTCAATAATATAATTTTATATCAATTCATTTGCTCTATTTAATAAAAAATTTGAATTGCTTATAATTTAATAAATAAATTTCAATTGATATTATTGTTCTAAATCTTCATTTCAAATTTTAAAAGTTTTCTCGATTAAATTTCTTAAAATCTTTATCACTATGAGTCAGTATTTTATGAATGTGTGATATATATATAATATTAGCTAACAATACGTGCAAAATATTTCATTATATCTGTATGTAGATATGAAATAATCTGTTATATGAAATTTTATAATTAACATTAATTCCTATTTTTCATAATCCATTTGATAAAATTATAATAGAATATTTATAAAATCTTTTGCATGTACTGTTAAAATTTATTATCGACATAGATTCGATGTATCGAAGAAATTATTCTACAAATTATTTCGATTAACACGCCATCATATTCCAGTTAATTCAAGGGTGTCTAACGTTAGAAGAAAATCAACGTCAATATTATCATTTAACAAAACGTACAATCTCACTTTTTCTTTAAATTTTTTTGCAATTATCTTGAATGATAAATTGTATTTGTTAAATGTAATAACAACAACCATTTAAAAATCCACGTATACGATAAAGGCATGTCAAATGAATTACAAAACTACATTATTCATCTCGACAGCTGTTGCTTGACGAATACAATAATAGATATTAACATGGCATCACATCTTAAACGAGATATTTTCAATATATGAAATTGTATATTTTATTATCACAGTAAGCGTCGTGGCATACTTTATTTCGATATTGTTTTAAAAGTTTTTTCCCCCCTTGTCATTTAATTTTTATTCATTCATTCAACATTTGTTTCTTCTTTTAAAATGTCCTCGTTTTCCTCGATCACCGATCCACGTGGCCTCCGTGGCGCAATCGGCTAGCGCGTTCGGCTGTTAACCGAAAGGTTGGTGGTTCGAGCCCACCCGGGGGCGGATTTACTTTTTACGAAGGGAGAGACTCGAGATAAAGATGGAAACGTGGATAAATGGCGCCCCTCTTTTGATTGACGATACTTGTCACAATTTTTCGAATCCCATCAGGGCCTCTTCTGTTCACAATATCAAGATACGATTAAATCACTGTAAATTTCAACAAATTTGCCGGTGCAAGAACTTTCGAAGGTCGTTGAATTAAAAATTGATATTGTATTGATATTAAAAAATTTGTATACGATTCGTGGTTTGGAAAAAAAAAAAAAATAACTAGTTAAAATTTCGAATAAAGTTACTTTAAGTCACAATTTTATTTAAAATATTTGAGCAACGTTAATTTAATACTTTGAATTAAAATAATAATAATAATATTATTATTATTATTCAACTGTTAAAATTTTTTCACATATCTGTTGAACACAATAGCAAATATAAGATAAATCTTTGTCTCGGTTCATTTTGTGCTACTTGAAATATAATATAAGATATTTATCGATAAATACAATTAGTTGTTTTTGAATATACGCGTAAAAAGTAGTTACAATTTGCTGTTTAAATTGCAATTTTAAAATTGAAATATATTTAAGTAAATTTTAACACGATATTCCTTCACTTTTTGAATATTGTTTGCTAGAATTTCTTTGTATTATGTAAAAATTAACACGAGTTCTTGCTGGAATGCATTGAAAACACAATTGCATCGTATCTAATTCAGACTGTAAAACTCAATATATCTTTTTTATTACTTTTATTATCTAATTGAAACAAAATTAAAATGAAAAAATAAAAATAGATTGGACATTTTTAAAATCATATATGTTTGTTTATTTATAAATTGAAAAGCTATAATCGAAATACTATATGATAAATAAATAAAGTTAAAATTTTTTCATAATCAGTTAGAGAATGATATTTCTATAAAGATATTATATTAACTATCGATTTAATTGAATTTTATTTCATAAATTTTGCAATTGCATTTCTATTTTGTCACAATAATTCCTTTTAAAAATTCCTTTGTGAATGCTGGTTAATGTGAAATTTTGTATGTCTTTTATAATAAATTCAGAAATATCATTAAAGATGATGCTTTCTCAGAGAACAATTTTGATTGAATTATCCATGATTATGAAAAAAATGAATAATATTCAGTTAATAATTTAAGTGCAAAATTTTTACCTCTTTTTCTAATTCTTCCTTTTTCTTTCATTTGTAACATTTATAACATTTCTAAAAAAAAATTTTATCCTATTTTTGATTTTTCTAATCCAAAAAAATACACAACTTCTTTAGAAATAAGTTATGCATTATAATTTCTTTTAAGAGTTCATTCATTATAATTTCTAGAAAGAATTAAGGCACAAATTCTAACGTTTGGAACAAACCCGTTTCATAAGATCCAACAAATCTCTCTTTTTAATCATTTTCTAATTGATAATTAGCTCATAAGAAGTTCAACACTTGTGGCGAAGATGATGGCAAAAGGAACACATATATTTTCAACAAAGATATAATAATAATAGAGTAAGAAAATAATAAAGGAGATATTAATCATCACCTTCTCTACAATGAAATTTAAGCAGAATTGTGGCTTTACATCCTAATATCAATGGTAGAGTGGCAATAATGATGACAATCATTGTCAAAATTATCAAACAATGATCACAAAGATTTTGATATTTTCTATGAATATATATACATATGGATTCAATGTATAGATCAACATTATAATTCTTTATCAGTGAGGTATGTGTTATAAACTTTAATATTAATTATTTCAATTAATTGTACATCAAATCATTACTCAATATTGCATTCAAGATGAGCAAACAATAAAGTAATCTCTGTCTCATAAATTAACTGTAATAATCATTACAGTTATCAGCTGACAAGTAAAATGCTCTTGAAAAAATAAATCAAATTTTTTTTGATTATATTTTATTAAGAATCTAAAAGATATACAAAATGTTCTATATATACAAATAAAACATTTTCTATTTGTTCTCAATTTGTATAATGAATAATTTCAAATATATATATGTGGGAATGTGAAATATAATAAGAAAAGGAAAAAGCTTATATCTAATTTTTTGATTAAATCATTGTACAATTAATATATATAGCTATATTATATAATTGGACAGATCTTTTCTTGTCCACTGATTTTTCGATTTTCCAGCTATCACTTCATAAGATTGTCAACTTTCACTAATATCATAGTATCAAGCTTTAGTACATTGATTCGCCATTTGCTGCAATACTAAAATTATTTTCATAAATTTTAATTCCACTTGCTGGAACTTAGCTGAAACTCTATTCTGTCTCGAAATATTATTTTATATAATATTTTTATATAATTATATTTATATAAACAGTTAAAAAATGCTAAGTCAGTTATCAAATCTACGACAAGTTTGTTTTACATCGAAATAAAATAAAAAGGCAAATGTAGGCAGGAGAGGCACTTTTTTTTTTTATATATAAAGTATTCCATAGTTCATTTCACAGATATTGAATTAACTTATTGCAGATTCTTGTAATTTTGACAATATACAGAATTTTATTTCAAGATTGAAGCTACTCCCATCTGTGTTATAAATTATAAATTCCCTTGATTGAAATGATAGTTGAAATCATAGATGAACAAAATTGTTTTAATTTTATTGGGATCTTTTTCATCTTTTTTTCCTCTCGTAACAAAGTCAACAGAGGAGAGAAGACATTTATCATGCACTTATCACGTTATAGTCAAACGCATGCATATAGAAATCTTTTACTCGTAGCGAACGCTATCAGAACTATACTGTTCATAACGGCTGAGAAAAGAAGTCAAACAGCTTCTGAAATTAACCATCGCCTCTCGACGATTGGGTAAAGAAAAGATTCGATATTTATGTTTAAATATTTAAAATTTTTGATAAAATGATTTCCTGGCATTAAAATATATTATTCAATTTTATAAATGATAATTGTATTTTTAGAATTTCATCGAAGTTCATCTTGAAAACATAATAAGAAAGAATAAAGATAAAGCTGAAAAAAAAGCCCATCGGCGATTTCTCAGATGGAACGGAAATTCTCGAAAAAATTCCGGAGAATTCAGCCTTGCAGGATCACAGAGTTAT